CCCTCCCGCTTTAATATACCGAAATGATTTTATGAAAATCAAATTAAATTAAATTAAATTAAACCATTAGAAAACGTATATTAAACTTACTTCTGTTGATATTGCTAGAAGCTCTACACAGTCGCGTGATATGACGGTAGATGCACGTTTACTGTTGTTCAAAATGGCGAGTTCCTGAAAATATCGTAATATTCACAAATTATACATCTATTTTTAAATGACAATCAAAGCGAAGTGGACATTTCGGATTGATGTGTTTCAAAGAAAAGTGTCTAAGTGATTTTTGTTCTCAGGCAATGAGGAGGTCATTGAATACCGTCATTTCGTAAATAAAAATGTGTATTGGCAACGAACATCGCCCTCTAGTGACAGTGTTAAGTAAATACAAGGTAATACTTTATAAAAGTAGGCCAGCTATAATTACGATCAGTACTGTGTCAATCATGATGTGTTGGTCTTGTTACGTTTCATGTTAGAGTTGTCATGTCAACAAACCTTACGTTAAAGCCTTTTCAATCTTGAGTATAAACTTGGCCAAAAATCAAATCTGAAAGTTACAGCATTTGCCAAGTATACTGATCAAAGTTTATTTATTGTCATCTTTACAATAAATCCAATCATACACTACTGTTTAAATTTTGTCTAGTGTACACATCCCAACAGAAAGTTGATAGTAGAACCGCAGTAGTGCCAGATGTCAACGTAATACACCAAATTAAATGATAACATGATTTTGAATAATGATTCATATCAAACTCACACCAAAAGCTTCCCCTCTCTTTAGAAAGCATACTACTCTGCTATTTTCACCATCAGTCACCGTTACCATGACTGAAAGAAATAACAGATTAATTCATTTTGTTGAATTTAAGAATCTGGTACGATCATTTCTGTCTCTTGCCTACCATGCTCCCCTCACCCGTTACTACGTGACTCCCATTCACACCCTCTGACTCACGCTCACCATAGTCCTGATATCCGGTCACTTCTCCCATTCACAAACAGTCTTGTGCCTACCATCTTAAAACATTCCTATATAAACAAACACTAACTTGCTAAAACTCTCTCCCAAAAAATGTAGAGCAGTACTGCGCTTATTACGGCTGTAAAACAAATATTGTTTCTTGTTTAATAGACAGGTCAGACTAGTAATCTGAATAACGACTAACAATACACCTCATTTCGCGCCCTCAATTAACGAAGCCATTCTGTGACGTCATAAATTGACGTAGATGGGTAACATCAATGCCATACAGCTGAACGTGTGTTGTGTAGTCGTTTATTATTGACAATATAAGACGATTATCGACCTCTGATTTATTAAAGATTGAAATCACCGTGATTTTATTTTCACTCATTTTATGAGAATTCGAAAGTTTATTTTTTTAAATTGCGTCACGCATATATTTCTCAAAATGAAGACAATCAGACCTATTGCCAATAGGAAATTATGTCAACATGTTTCAAAAATGAAGAATATAAACATTTTGAAGGGAAAATTATGGCATTCAACTGGGTTCACTTAATTTTAATTTGTGATTTGCATAAACTATGGAGACAAAACAATCTCGGTATGGTGTAATTCTTACCTGTGCCAGAGAGGATGATATAAAACGCATGCGCAATATGTCCTTGTCGGACGATACATCTACCAGGCTCGAACCTACAAAACAACATGTAGTAAACGTAATCCCTGGTAACTAGTCAAATTAAATCAAAATTTCTGTCCAAATGATACAAATATCCACTATTTATAGTGAATGCATTTGTATATTTCTCTATTGATCGACACATTCAGCCAAATAGTAAAATGTACATTGTACGAATTTCCGAACCGAATTTTCAATCGTGTCGCGGGACACCCCTTACCAGTGGGATAGAATGATGGAGTCTATTTCTAAACGACGTCTTTATTGCATCGACCCCTACATATTTTCAACTAAAGTACACAATCCAATTATGTTTATAGACACTTTAATTGACTTATTAAAACACATTTACTGGTGTACGGATTTTAGTATGTGTAACCTGTAACGCGATTACGTGACGTACTAAGTGTTCCAGCCAAGAACATTGTTGTGATATAAAAAGGGTATTGACTAATTTATTATTTTTATAGTTTTACATTCAACTTATTTCTTGAAAGTGCTACAAATTGATTATATTAGCCGGGTAACACACACTGATATATAACTAATACGTCGTGTATTTATTGGTTAACATCACTTGAGTACATACTGAAATTTAGGTTTTGGTGGTACTCACGTTTCCAGCCAGCCAACTTTACATAGTTTTTGTTGCATACGCACTGGGTACTCCGCGAACGACTCGATATTCCGAAGACCGATTTGAGCCTGTGAAAGGAGATATAAACGATACTAGTAATTTGTATACAATCAGAGTTTCCTCGTTAAAAAAATGAAACCCAATGTCATCCATTCTCTAGTGCGTGTAATTATGAGGTTGTTGTTCTCAATGTGTTTTTGTTGTCTGTTGTTTGTTTGTTTCCGAATTACTCTGAAATTGTGTTTATTAGAACGAATATATATATATATAAATGACTCCATTGTACTTCTATGTAACGAGGAGCACTTACGTATTTTAACTGATAGTCTGTTCTTTGTGACCTATCAGAGGTTAGTATTCGTTTGGCTTCTTCTGAAAGTCTTTGCTGCGATAAAGTGTAAACAAACACGCAGTTATATTACCGTCCGACATACCAATAAAATTTACAAGGTAGGAGTGGAAGTCAATTATTTTTATCCAGTCTCGCCTGTAAGCAAACACTCGACAGTCTCAAACGATCACTACCTTTCCGGTTAATGTCATTAAATACAAACAATAGTTGTATTTCATTACGGGTTCAGAGGCGATCTCAAAAACATGAAAAGGTGAAATAAACACGTAGGGGTTTCAGAGATAATAATAATAATAATATTAAATACAGAAAGTTGCTGAGAAAAGCGTTATCAATTTAGACTTTCTACATGTTGTTGTTAATGATTTAGTACGTTTTGTGTGTATGGTTATCGTTTTGTGCCATCCTTCCTTTCAGCCTCAGGTCTTTGGGTAAGACACGGCATTAGGACTGTAAAACAACAGATCAAAAGGACATACTAGAAAACAATAATAATAATGTTTGTGTCTTTAATTTAATGTAATATGTTTTTAGCGTGGTTGTACCAATTTATGAATGTCGAAAGCAATAGCAGCCGTCACGCCATATCTCACCTGTCTATTGGCCTTGAAGTAGGATGGATTGAACGCCAATCCACCAAAAGTATCGTTTGTATTCTCAATATTGCCGAATGGATCTTTCATCTCCCGTTTCGTTCTGAAAAGTAAATGAAAAGACGATGTCGTACGAAGTTGGACGTACTTTTTGGTGTATAGAAGGCGTGTTACAATACAATACAATACACTGCATTCTCTCAGGGTTCGATCACACATTCAAATATACGAGCGTATATCTAATTCAAAACCATTATTTGGGTGCCAAGGTATGATAGTTTTTGGAGCGAATGTATTTTCTGTATCGCCGCGTTGTTTTCGTCTAGCTACATAATTCTACTGAGTTCGAATAAACACCGAATTTTTGTGATTAACAAACTACAAATATGTATTAACTGCTACATTGTATCTGTTAACATTTATATAAAGATTAAAAATGAGACATAACAATCTGTGTTAGATTCGTATCCTGGCAATTAAGTTGACAATTGCACATTAGTGTTCATACATTAATATATGTATATTATTATACGAAGAGTTCCGCCGCGTGATACGAATTATGCGACAATTTGTTGTCCACCGCTTGAAGTTGCCTGTGGGTGAATGAGGGTTAACGTCCTCGCACAAAAATATCGCGTGAGATTGAAACTAAAAATATTTATAAGGTTTAGACAACATTTGGTAGCGTGTGTGTTAGTCCAAAAATCACGGTCACGACTTTTGTTTTGTAATTCATATCAAACTGTAAGCACATTCGTTGTCAGTGTAATCTATTCATTACGAGAATACCCAATAAATTACTAATATAACATATTGACAACGTACTAGTAGTGAGAAAAATGAAACGTATCCCCTTCCCTAAAGCAAATATTATTTCATTGAGGCTGTGTAAGAAACAATATCATGGGCCAATAAGGGCGACATGCTGGGAAAATTACTCATCTATGCAAAAGAAATGACTACCGCACTACACTATTCAATCAGAATGAAGTACTGGTATGTTTATTGTCGTTGTATTATATTAAAAGCAGCCACTACACAAAGTTGTCACTCGAGTCGTGAACTACCGTCACTGCCACCAGCACACCAACAACAATAACCGACTCATCGCATTTTTACTCGAGGTTAATTATTCCCTATTTGTATGTGTAGTGCCATAGCTATTTCATTGTTCGTGGTGTTTTCACTGTTTGTCCGATCTAAACATGTCATAGTGAGACGTTCTGTCAGTTAAAAAATCGCATACAACTATTCGCCGAGGGATGGGTGTATGTCAACGTCCCTATTTTGTCATGGACTTCTCTATCAATCGCGGCACTTGAAGCGCCCGTTATCCTAAGTGGCATAACAACGGCATGGACGAGTCAACTAACATGAATAGCAAAGTGGGCACGGTATTTTAGAAATAGATCGACCTTTATACGATGCAATCGCACTCGATAACCGGTAGTTGAGCGAGTATTGTACAATTATGCTTTGTATTTTAATAACATTTATTCAGAGAAACGTAAACAATAATAATGACACTCGGTTCCCGTCTTTTGTGTCGGTGAACATATCATCATAACATGTAATTCAAAGTCACAGCAAAAAAAATTTTTTTTTTTGTTTAGGTGCCCCATCGTTCGAAATTCTAACAACACACACAAATCAATCGAGTGTAAACAACATGGAGACTAAAGCGACAGAGTGTGCGTTGAATGCGCTGATATGGTGGGCTAGTGAATACAACTTTCTTTGAACACGGGCTAAGTAAAGTGCTTTGTTCACGGGCGAGGTACGCGAGATTTTACTCCGGACTCGAAAAACATTGACTGATGCTAATCACCACTACAATATTGCAAACGCCAGAATCCTTTATATAGAATATGTAATAAAGCATTGAACAGGTACTTATACAAATCATACTAACGATGAGGTGTTGACTTTTATACCCAGTGGGGTTGTAGTGTCAGATCGGTTAATTATTTGGAGTCGCAGTATGGACGTCAGGTCAACGCTAGCGTAAAGGAGTGACATCTGTCAAAATAGTAAAATATTGAGTTGACTTTGGGACTATATCTTAAATAATGAACACATATGCAATAATTCATGGCACTGTCATGTTCACGTCAGCCTAATGTGCCGTTGCTGGACGCCAATTGTGGAAAAAAAACTTGAACTAAGCTATTGCAGTGGTCGGTGTTATGGTTTGTCTGGCTAAGTTTTATTTTTTAGTGTGAATGAAGAAAACAAATTGACGATCTATAAAAATGTAACGTCTTTTAAAGACTTCACATTAAAGATAATCACTGACTGAAATGTACTCAATATAGTCGTGACGATCTATGCTGAAGTTGACCGAAGGTTACTTGTCCGTTGCCAACCATCAAGCGTTTCGTTTAACGTCAATATCCGCTTTACAATGATGTGTGTATGTGTGTGTGTATGTAGGCGTGATGGTCTACTAGTAGCCCTCCTGTCGTTATGGCTTGCTAAGGCCACATTGTGGAGATATATCGATTCATTACACCGCATCCACGGCAAATTACGCTACCTAAGTGTGTCTGTTTAAACCGTTGTTGCGAAAATGACATTGACCTATATAATGTTTGTTGAATGAGTTCCAAATACGGGTAAACTCCCGGCTTTAAACGCTATTATAGATAATCTCACGGATTAGGCTTTGTTATAGTAACGGTATCCGCTGGCTCAGACAAAACAAAACAATTTGTACAAAATGTAACGATTTCTTGAAAGTATTATCTTAGTATATTTACAATGGTGTGACCGAGATAAATTGACATAGTGGTTCTAGAATTATGAATATGATGTTAAGTCCGGGATATGTCGATATTTAATCACGTGACGAATTGATATCTAATCACTGCTAGTGACATCACATAAAATCTAAGTTTGTATTCAGATTATACTTTTTTCTGTCCATACTTCAAATACAGATGTCGGTGGTATACATGTAGCGAGTAAAAAAAAACTTTATTTGCCGAACTAGTAAATTGCCAATCCAGCTTAAAAACACCAGGTCGAGCACTCAACAGGTGCATATGAATACGCACGTTTCCATGGCAACGAATGATCACAACAATTTCATATCGTGTGACATTCAGTGAATGTTAACATATTTGTTGTATTCGAACAAGTTTGTGCGCCTCGACTATTCTTATTTTGAGTTTATTTTCTGTTTGAAATCTATCCGTCATTCATGATGAGTGTAAGTGTTTTTTTCATAGTATCCAGACAGTTATTACCCCGTATGTTGAATTGCCGGACTCCACCCGCGGCACATTACTGTGTAGGGTTTAAAAGTTTAATAATAAAACTCAAGGCGATGTGACAGCCATTCAGTACTTTACTCACCGTTTGTTTCCCCTTTTTGCCAACAGGACACAAACAAAGACAATATTGGCGGCGCGCCGAAATCGATCAATCAAAGACATCTGAAAAGAAGGGATAATGATGAGTTTAATCTCGATAATTACACTTAAGTAGACAGAAAGACTTATAATTAAAAGTGTGATATACATTGGGCATAAGACACACTGATGTAATTAATCTCAGGTGGGACAAACTCCGACACGATGTCACGGCTGGGCTATGTCTATTTCTACAAGTATTTATGCCCCGGGCATAGGTAGTTGTTATTGTGTATGCGGACAAACTCAATTATCATAATATTGGGAACTATATAGGAAAAGAAACAACTTTAATCAATCAACACAACACCCAGCGGGCTATTCACCTGTTGTAAGCACTATTTATAGTGTACATATACTGAGGTAGAAATGATGGTTTAATTCCAAATGAGGCTTCTGGCTAAAAGACGAACGGAGTAGTGCCTTCAAAGTTGCTTCAACAGTAGTGAATTACTGACAAACTCTCTTTACAAAAAAGAATAAAGAATGGAATCTGAAAAATATAGGCGCTGTGTTTTCTTATTACTTTGTAGATTCTATAATCGAATTCCATAGCCTGAAAATAAAGGCACGTACACTTCGTGTTATTACCATGCACCCGCTACGCTGCCGTTTTAACCTTATTCCCAATCGCTGGTATTGGATCGTACTATTTTCAAAATTAAAATAATTATCGACATGCACTCTGACTGTTTTAAAAAACTCTTGGTTATTTGCCGGTATTGAAACAACTTTTAAATTAAATATAAAATAATTATTCAACCTTGGAATATTTCACTGACAAATAGAGAAAACGACTCTAGTTTGTACGCGTTCAGCTTGAAAGAGCCCGACAATTCCGACAAGTGAGTAAGTCCATTAATTATAAATGTGGTGGTATTGATTATCGAAAGTGCCATTGTTACCGATCACCTCGCCTTAAATGAAAACGCTTTATTGTAATACTTAATTATATTATTCCAATTTCCCTATTAAACACAAATATGTAACAATAACTTTGTTTCTGTGAATCATTAGGGGCAAAACGATTTTACACCAAAATGGAAAAATAGCCTTGTTTATTTTTCGTCAGCACGCACATCGCCTGCCAGTGCGTTTCGGTACCACTAATAGCCAGGCGACGATGCAGCGGTTTTTATATAGCGATAACAATTTGATTTAATTGCAGTACAGTATGGGCATGGGCCCACTGCCAGAAAACCTGACACTTTGCGCGCGATAGAATGGGAAAATTTAGTTGTCAGTATAAGTTTTACTAACAGACGTTCCGTGCGCGTGTATGTGCGGAATTTAGTAAGAAACACGTTTAAATGTCTCCTATTCACAACATTATTCTTATAGGAATAATTATGCAGTTCATTTAGACTGAACTTCCGTTTCGTCACTTATTTTGAGTTTCGGAAATTACGAGATTGAACTGTTAAACATACAAATTATTTTTGGCTTAAGAATTCATTTCTACTGCCGTGCGCGGGAATCCCGTGTTCACCTTTATTGCATTCACATATATCTCGCTTATTGTGTATCTGAACTATTTATAGAACATCCTTATCTTACAGGCGGCCATCTTAGAAATGGAATTAAAAATGAACAAAATATACATATTTTAAATATCAAAAGAAGCCGAAGAGATTCCTGATATGAATGTATTCATAGTTTACGTTTTTATGTGTAAGTGATTACATCGAAACAGCTGATTGGTTGATAGGCATGAATTTAATAATTTTTTTATAGATTTCATCAGGTATAAAGAATGAATACAATCACCACTACGGTCATTTGCGTTGATATCAAGTTAACAAACAAACAAACATCCTGAGTATATAAGTATACGTGTATGGTTTGTTAATATCGTTCACGTTATTCAGATGCTGGGAATATATGCTATCCATATATGGCAAAACTATCATAGGTATATTCTACGGTAAAACAAGTTTGGGAAACGGCTATGTGCCAATTATATGTTTGTTGATGCTTTCAAACGCGCCGCTTTAAATTCATGCAAATCGAAATATCAAGTTGAAAGACCCAATTTTCAACATATAACAGGTGTATGTTATAACATTGACTATGACCAACCTCCGACACTTGGATTGCAGTATCTGGCACTGTTTTATCTTGCGGTGTATTTGGTTGCTGTGTCGTATCGGGGTTTAGCCGTATTCTGCGGCGTCGACGCAAGTACTGCAACGACGGCAGATCAAGTCCAATGGCAGATCCCCTACGACGGCCCGGGTCAATACCTCTATCCAGTGATAGATTATTCGGCGTGTTAGGTGTTGTTGTTGTTAGTCGGTAGAAAGTGGCTGACCGTCCGTCAGTCATTCCCAGTCGTGTTATACTCCCTCTCCTTGGTTCCTGTGAGAGGGGACGGATGGAACTCCTCCGTAGCGGTGATGGGTGAGCAGTACCGCCACGGTCGCTTAGTGAGTCCGATTTCATAGACTCGTCCGATTTTGCTGAACAGATGCTGCCTCTTGCTCCGCGGTCCTGTCGCCCCGGAGATAGCAAGTTACGAGCCTCCCTCGGCACCTTAATGTCTGGAACTATATTGTTCAACATACCGTTGGTTTTAAATTGTGAGCCACATACGTATGCCGGATCAATGTCAACCACGGTTTCTGATTCCACACCGACGAACGATAATGCTGAATGCCTAGGAGGATTAGCTGCCCAAGCTACCGTTGAAATTGGGACGGCACCGCTTGTACCTGGACGGCACGGACGAGCGCTGGAGTCTTGTCTTTCTTTGGTAGTAGCAGGCGTTAAAGCAAAATTAAAATTCGGAGTCAGCGCACGACGAAGGGTAGACTTGCGCTCTGCGGGGAAATATCCCAGGGCGGGCATGACCGCTGTTAGTATGTTGACAAACGTCCTGTATTAAAGTAGTCTACTCAGAATGGTGAGACACCGACCTAACAAAAGGTAACAAACTTCACTGCAATGTACATTACATATCTAAACTATGCAACATTTCTAGATTGGTAACCATGGGATACGAACAGCGTAACGTTACCTCCCTCTGGGTGGCATCCTTACTGATAGTGAGACAAGACGAGCCCCAGCGATGAAGTCGATATATGACCGTCACACTCAGCTGCGTCCGTACACCCAACTTTTATACGGTCACTTATATTATCATTACCTTTCAGTAAGTTTGACGTCGGTCACCCCATTTCATGATGGGGGTGTGTAGGTCCGACTTCAGCGAATGTGTGCGTTGAACAAGATTCAATGTCGCGACGTACTCAACAGTAAGGATTTTTGTTATTTAGAAGGACAAAACTAAATTCACGCATGGATGATTTATGTATTGGATCCCAGTAAACCCTCATTCGTGGACCCCCAACTTCCCACTTGAAAAATAGCCTGCGCAGGGAAGTAAATATTTCTCTAACGGTGCTAGAATGTAAATGGGAACACAACGAAAGAAATAAACACAGTTAAATAACAAGGATTTGTATTGATAAGTTGGAATAAAGACAGTATACACCATGCTTTTAAGTTTCACATATTGTTTAAAACTCGCCTTGATGTCGATGTTTGTCTAACCACCGAGGGTGTTTGTACATTAAACGCTTGTAATCATTCGTGATTGTGTCAAGGTGTTGTCATGGGAAACCATGGGTTAACATGATTCGATAATTTGTATTTGTTCCTAAAAGTCATGGACGGAGGGCTGGGTCTTAGACCTGTGGCACTTAGACAAAGGAGCGGACTAAGAATTAACGAGTCTCTGTTTCATAATTGAAGCCCACTTTGAGCCACGCCCACTTCAAGTGTGTAGGTGAGCGCCGTTTGATCTGAAATGTTGTTCGCCTTTTTACTTGTATCGTAGCAATGTACATCGAGAAAAGAAGAATAATAAACAGTAATCAGGTAAACGTAAATGAAATTGGACCGTATGTCTTCGTAGATAAATATTTATTTCCCGAGCTAAACTTTAAATTAGGTCCCCAAACATTTTCATGGCTCATTCTCGTGAAATTCCATATCTTCGCCATTTATAAAGGTTTGCACAAGCATAACATAATCGCTGTTTAGTAGATTGTCAAAACGTAAATATATATACCGCTATGCTCGTTCACACACCTTTGGGTAGTCAGGAGGCGAGACCGACATCACATTAACGTCGTGAAATCTGAACTCAGGATACGTCTAATATCTCCCGACTTGTCCACTCCATGTGAAATGATTACAATGACAGTAAACTATAGTAGATGCATACTTTGTGAATATATAATAGTTTTGTTTTGTTTCTTGCACACCGGTGTCCAACATGTGTCAAGAATATCGGTCACTGATAGCCTAGTGGTTGTCGCATCAGACTCATGATCGGTAGACCCAAGTTCAAATCCTACCTTAGGCTGAACATCAAAAGGGTCGACCCCCAACCTGGATGAGTGTGCCACAGACTCAATGGGAAGGCCGATTCCACTGGCAACTAATGAATGCAACTTTGAGGAAACCTTGGTAAATGTATACAGGTGCTTGTGTTCGACCGAGCCTGATTGACGCCAGGATAGCACATTAAAATTGCCATTTGATAGAGATGGCCACACAGCCCTGTGAGGAAAGACAACAGTAACATTCAATATCCGGAACTGTCGCCTGGCACAAAAATGACATAATGTCAGTGTGGTTTCAACACCAATTCGCTTTGCTTTCTATGCAATAATTGAAAATGTTCACTTCATTTATCGGTGACTATAGCTGTATTTAACAAATAAACAAAGTGAATGAAAAGATAGGTTGTAGCGAGGATTGTATGAATACAGGTATTGTCGAAATGAAGTGTGACCATGAAGAAAGTTCAATTGAAGTGCAAAACCATATAGTTCCAGACATTAGCACGAAACTTTGACTTAATGGAATTCTCTCATATTTCATCATGAATAAAAAAAAATAGTATACAATGATGTTTTATAAATATCTTTAATGTGTGGCGATAAGGGTTGGTGGAGACGAGTTTTTGACCAACGGTTTTCACATTAAATAATAAAACCAACCAAAATGTATGAGATGCCATATATTTCAAGTGCCAGACTTAATACCTAAATATGGTTTTAGTTATATACTGACTTGGGACTGATATAATCACAGTTGAACATGATATTGTGGACAACTGCCCTACCAAGTCGTGTTGTGCCTGTCTGTAACCTCCCCAACCAACCAACAATACACACACAGGCTACTTATTAAAGAAACAGCCTGAGTTCCTGAGTTCATCCAGATATTTTCATGTAGTCATTACACTAGTTTAGTCACACACCTTCTGAAACGAATACCTATATTAGATGGGCGTTACAGGTAAACACATGACCTAACTAACAAGTCCCTTCGTTCCATCTTCGCTGTGTCTGTACTTAACCATAAAGTTCGTGTTTTGAAGAATAATGCACATAAACGCACAGACACACAGCACATTTGTATACCTGTTGAATGTCAGCATGGAAAATACTTACAGGCAAAAGAACTACGTAATAGTCTTGAGACATATATATATATATACTTCTAACGAGTTTAACGAAATAGAAGAATTCAGAAATTATTGGTCATTGCTCAATAGAGTCTGCACATTGGGTACACAATCTTCACCAGTCCATGCCGCTTAGTCTCCATGACAGCGCGAAGAAATGTAATAAGTTGTCAAGGAACAGATGCCAGTCATGTTATATATCAATGCACTTCAAAAGCCACTCAGGGACGCGAAGACGACAATAAGCCTACCACATTTCTAGAAACTTGTACATTTGTCCTTCAATACATTACTCTGCGCATTTAGTGTGTCATGTCCTTTACATGTGCTAAAACAAAATGTGCTCTTCGAGTTTGTCGGGTGGTGGGTATCATGATCATAACTCCAAACATCCAAAACTCGTCATCACTTCGTTGGAAACTATACATTGTAGTTTAAATGTACATTGAGTTTGCTAAATTGTGAAACTTACCTTTCCTTTCTCAGAATATGCAACCTTACGTCACATTTAATGTCAGTTGGGGTGCTGTTTCCGAAATAGCTGGTACGCGCTGTGTTAGGTTCTTGCAAGACTGACAGGGCATACCGGTAATCCGTTAATCTTAACAAACTACCCAACTACAGGTCAGTTTTTTTTTTACCTCTTAATAATAAATGAGTTAGTGACAGTTCAATAAATGAACCCAAGCATTCTGTATATAAATATGGCGTAAACACAGCAGCAATGCGCTTTGGGAAAGTTTTTATTACGCCCTCACCGTTTTTGTTGAAACAGTTATTAATCTCATGGTGGCGCACGTCGGTCAAAGTCAACAAAGCCAGAACACGTACTTGGTGTACGTTTAATTTTCAACACACTGTTTCACTATAACTACGAGCTGAAAAACAAAAAAATAATATTCTTCATATTTGAAAGAGCCGTGTATTACTTTACCCAAATAGAGTCGCAAAACAGGGTAAAATAATAAACCCGTAGAAAGCGCACACATTATGCAGGGCGCCTTAACTCGCAAGGATACAAGTTCAAGTGTCGGGTTTGTCCTTTGCTTCTGATATGACACGCATTTGTGTCAATCAAACCACTTGAATCAGAGTTTTGATCATGGATAATAAAAATTATAATAGGGCGTGAGGCGATGAGCAAACAGCTATAACACAGGTCAACACAGAACCTGCATCCGTTGGCAAATTCCGAATTAATCGTCACGGTGTGATTCATTTTCTTACCCCATCCTGAGGCACATAAAAGGTTACCGTCGTCATTATATATACAGATATTAATTTAATAATTATTTAATTTTATAATAAAATGTCACCATGGTTACAAAAATGTTACACGATATATTTTAATTACGTCACACATGAGTAATTTACATGTATAATAATATAACGGACTCTTTGGAATGATAAAACGTGACCCACTGAAGTATTAATGAAGGCACCTATGGGACCATGTTTATTAAATGGGGTTACTGTGATGATATGAACATAGCATGTTTAAAACGAATAAACTATTATGCTTGTTATATTAGACATTTTATTTATCGTTGATAATTGGGTAGCAATTAAAACAAATATTGTGCACATTTGTAATTAAAACAAATATTGTGCACATTTGTAATTATTTTTCTCGTTCAAAACGATATTTTAGGAATGATTTTCGAGACCAAAACACGCACATTAATTGAATGTTGTTCTAATTACCATTGCCGAATAACATGGACACTATAATATGTCACGGTCTGTACTGAATAACATACTAAGTAGTAACAAATACTCCTTGGACAAACATACCGGATAAAAACCATGGCTGTTGCCATCGCGTCCAAATGTCCAGAGAAAACGACCACTTACATATCTCTCGAATATCATTGTATTCAGTCACTTGTGTCAATATTGTCGACGTTCGGCAAACACTTGAAATACGGTATCGAATGTCTTGGTGCGAAAAAAATTGAGGGTATACAGCCGACAAGCAACTAAAGATGACTTGCTAAATACAGGATGGCGTACATTTGGAATTCCCCGTGGTTGTTTACAACATATATGTATAAATTAATGAGAGGTATATACATTAATCACCTGGTATTTATGACACTAATATAGCAAGGTAATACTTGGTTCTTGCATACTACGTTCAATATTATAGAACAGAACCGTTTCCCATACCTGGTAACTGCCCGGCGGCTGTCTCAGAAAATACGATCTCGTGATCACCCCAAGTGTATTGACTTCCTTTCCTACATCCCTAAAACTTCTCCGTCGCTTCAGTATTTCTCTTGCGATTACAGACGACTCGACCGAGAACCTCCGCTCTTTTGGCTGCACGTCGTCCGCAAGGGAGTTCCGTGACACCAACGGTGGCAGT